AGTTTTATTATCAAAAAGAAATTGCCCGCAGGCTAATCGACTCTCTAGAATCTCGAATTTCTTTGGAGAAATAGCCAGCCAGGTTAGGAGTAGAGCGGTAGGTTACGAGTGGACAGAAAATAAGCATTGCTATTCAACGTGGCAATACGGACGAATTCTTTGATACCTAATTATCACAATACTAATAGGCTATAATTGTTTTCATAATAATGCTTGCAAGTAAAACTATTCATTCAAAACACAGAAAAAATATAGGACAACACCTTTCTACCTATCCTAACGTCTGACGAGATAAATCATCTATCAACGATAGCTAGTTCTACTAGGAAAGGAAAGCTTAGAGTCGGCAACGTTCTGTAGTTGGAATCACACAGAGAAACATAGTTGCACTGTTGTGAATATTTGCTTTATGACTGCAACTTATTGGTTTTGTACCCGAATGACCTATTCAGATACTTTGTAAGTTAATCGTGCTATTATGTAGGTAAAGGAATTGGTAGAATATTGTGAGATATTTCAAATTATTCAGTACTGTATTTATCATTGCAATTTAGATTGTGTGTGTTAGTTGAGTGGTTACAAATGCGATGCGACTGCCTCGTTGGCCGAGTGGTCGCAAGTTCGACTGCCGGGCAACGGCTCTCGAGTTCGATTCTCGTGTCGGACAAAATATTACTGGTTTTTTTTTTAATTCTCAGCACGGAGTCTGGAATTGTGCCCGGTATATGGCAATAGGCTAACCCCCTATTACAAGGGACTCATAACATAAATAGTGAAAAGTGGGTGTTACTTTGTACAGTGGCATAATGTGCACCTGTGTCTACCCCTTCGGAGATAAAGACGTGATGTTATGTTATGTTATTTATTTATAATATACATTGATCAAAATAAAATTTAACATTAGTTTGTATAAATTCAACGAAAATAGTAGCGATCTCTCATTCGTCCAGATGTTAGCAATTTTTACACTTCAAACGAAAAACACAAACAAATTGTCCAGAAAAAATGTTGCCCCAGTTAAGCAGTTTCCAGATTTTTCCGGCTGCCACACCGAGCGAGACAAAGTGGTGCCATCTGTCCTTATTAGGGGGAAACTCACCGATATTAATTTTGGTATTACATCGACTTTGTTTTATTGTGGACATGTATCAAAAAGTTTGTTTATTTTTAGTGAATAACTAATTAAATGTTAGACAGGAATTAATTGTGATTAGTTAAGGATCAAAAGGTCTTGTGAATAATGATTTGTTATTACGTAAACTAAAATAATTCTAATTAACGGGTGTGCTAGCGAGACTGCCAAATAATGAGGACGGTTAAAAGAGTCACAAGACGACACCTCAACTACTGAAAATAAAACGTACACGGACTCATGAGATCTCTATCACATGAGATACACCATAACTATTTACTCCAACAAGAAATAAAAGCGTATTTTTTATTGGTTGTGGGCCGACCTCAGACCACTATCTTTTTTGATAGCAAGCGATGATGCGGCCTGTGATGAAGCACGCCTATAAGCAACCTATTCAAGATAACTATGCATAATGCATGTATAATAATGTATGCAAACTTGACACACCTATTGCAAATACCTTCTTGTACTAATACACACTTAACTATAGGTACAGATCACATTAATGAATATGATAATCCTTCAAGTTTCGTCCCTAGGCTGGCAGGTAAAGTTTCAAGTGTATTCAACATTAGCATGCTGCTCACTTGAACTTCAATGTGCAACACTATCGATCGAGATGGACCAAGACTATTGGCAACTCTCTTGAGATTCCGTCAGGTACTAAAATGTAAGTGAGGAATTGGATAACTTACCTACTCCTTCAGGAGAGAAAGTCGTTAGTAAGTATCGGACTGTGGATAAAGTTCTTCAAAATATTTTCAAGTATATGATATTCGTGATCAGATAAGGACTGATAGAGGCTGCCGCGCAACGTGTCGCGGGTTCGATTCTCGCACGGAACAACTCTTTGTGTGATCTACAAATTGTTGTTCCGGGTCTGGGTGTGATGTGTATGTGAACTTGTATGTTTGCAAACACACCCACGACACCAGAGATAATCCCAATGTGGGACAAAGTTTAAAATATATATAATTTATGTTAATGTATATTTTTACGTTGCTGCTGAAAATAACAGCAAATATCGATCGACATGATCACAAATCTGCTGAACTCGTGGACAAACGAACCCCCCTTCAGTCTCCGCGTAATTAATATTGCATAAGTAATGAAATTAAATATTTGATGAACATAGGCATAAACTTGTTGTACACAGTCCGTCAGCTATGCGTCAACAATATTACTGTTTACATATCCTTCAGACAGTAACGACTACAAACAATTTGAACTTGAGAACAAAATTGAAAATGAAAACTTTCTGCTTATAATTATGTAGAATCGTCCTACTAAAGAGACTTTGATTTTCTAGCAATCAGTAATAAATAAAATAAAGATAATAAAAAACGTAAAAGGACTTATTAACTCATACATCGTTAAGGTTTAAGAAACTAGATTGACTTTATCTTTTGTCACACATGTTTTTAGATGGAATTTGTCAATTTCATTATTCGCACCTACCTTATAATGTTCAGAATTTAATGCAGTATTGGTGACAGTTATTCGTTTGAAAATCTTAAATAAAATACTCACCAAAAACAATTAGACATTGTTACCTTAAATTCCGCCCACCTGGTGAAAAGCTAAGACTCTCACAAGATAAATTGCCATACGATTTTTGACTTCAAAATTTAAAGCACCAGGTGGTAGCTTCAGTAATCAAACCCGTAGCTTACTAGAGCTGGGGTAAATTGGTAAATTACCCGCAGTGGGCCCCCACTGTTTGCCCAGCGATCCCCTTGCCCTTTTTGAAGCTACCTTGCATTTTAGTTCAAACAGTATTGATTGACGGCATTCAACTTTGATGGAGTATTGTTATGAATCGATTTTTTAAGTGGCGAGGGGATAGTCGAGGGCCATTGATAACTTAGTTTGTATGTTAATTTGTTAAAAGATTTGTTCAAAAACTTAACAAAATTAATAATTTGTACGACTATTGTTTTTTATTATTATTATGAGAGTTACATAGATTACTCTACCTATGTATCTTTGGGGAAATTATGTGACAAGCGTGATTATATAAATACATTGATAACTTTGTACAAAAAGTGGTATAAATGCATATAATTAGCGTTGGCCCCAAAACGTTACCTTGGGGAATCCCGTAGAAAATGTATCTATTTACAAATATAAACAAATATTCTACTAATAGGGTAGATTACTTATTTTTATTTTAATGTCCATCTGGTAGATTAACTAAAAACATTAGACGAGTATTTTTAATTTTTTTACGGAAACAAATAGTTTCGAAGAGTTATTGATTTAAAATGTCGCGTAACGTCACTTCTGTACATTTTATACGTAGAAATGACGTTTTAGCTCCCACTGCTAAACTTTGATTCGTTATATCTAAGTATTATTTTATTATACCTCTACAACCAAATAAAAAATACGTGTCTAATATTTTTTCATTACCTAACAGACGCACTAATCACATTTTTAATTTTCAAACCCTATCATTATCCCAATTACTTGAAAATATAAATAGAATAAGTGAATACTTCTTCTTTCACCGACGAGCATGCATGAAAATACTGATGACTGTTGATGAAGCGAAAGAGGTGTGAAAGAATCGTAGCAATTGGCATTCCATAGTCTCTGCCTAACACCATAGAAGACAGGCGTGAAGCAATACCGTGAAGAATGTATGGTATACGAATTTATAAAAAATGGGTAACTGATAATATAAATTAATTCTTTAGGTAATTATTTGTGGCTAAATGATAAAAATGGTTAAATAACTCGACACCTGCAGTAATATATAATTAAGATAGTTTTATAAATAGTATTTGAGGTGAACACAATTAATTTAATGTATCTCAGTATCAGTAGTTACTACACGGTGTCATGTTTTATTACATGCATTTATTTTGTAAGAAAACAACTAGGTTAGACTATTAACCTTAAAAAATGGTGCTTAATTTTCAACAAAATATAATAAAAACTATGTGGACGACTTTCATCAGCCAAAAGAGAAGATAGCGATGATGGAGACATTTTAAACACACGACTTTATACGTAAATTATAATTTCTACAACGCTCAAAGCATTTAGGAGGCCTTCAGACCACTCTTACATTTGAATGGACTTTTGACAATATATTGACACATATTTAAAATAAGTATCGTTTCTGTATACGGTTTTTTCATTTAAGTGGACTTTTGAGCACGAACTAAATTTAATAGACCTTTAAAAGGATAACAGACGTTTGAGCATACAAAACTAGAATTTGAGGGCTGCTCAATGATTTAAATGGCTGAGCGTTAAAAGAACTAAAAATACCTTGTTATTTATTAATTTATAATGTAAAGACATTATAAATTATTATTCATATCTATTGACTGCCTCGTTAGCTGAGTGGTCGCAAGTGCGACTGATGGGCAAAGGGTCTTGGCTTCGATTCCCGGGTCGGGCAAAGTAATACTGGGTTTACAAAAAAAAATTCAATAGTAGCACGGAGTCTGAAATTGTGTCAGGTGTATGGCAATAGGCTCACCCCCTATTACATGGGACTTATAACATAAATAGTAAAAATTGGGTGTTACATTGTACAATGGCATTACGTGCCATAATGTGCCTATGCCTACCACTAGAACTACCACTTCGGGGATAAAAGGCGTGATGTTATGTTATGTACTATTTTCACATAAATTTCATCTGGTCAGTCTTCTCGGTCCTTCTCTCCAGAGCTGATTTAGAACAGTTTTAGTATACGAGTTAAGTAACGTAATGTGCACCTCTGCCTACCCCTCCGGGGATAAAAGGCGTAGTGTTCTGTTATTAATATATACCAAGAATAAAGACTTACATTTACGAGAAAAGATTTTATTTTTTAAATAAATAGCAGTTTGTTACTTCTGGGTGAAACTATAGGCTGACTAGTCAGATACTTTCCATGGAGTCAGGTCTAATTTTCCTATTCTTGATGAACTGCATTTTGTCAAAGGATTGCTGTAAATTAACATAAAAAATATGCTTTAAATCTGGTGTTGTATGTAGGTACAGATGGATAAAAAGCTTGGATTATTTTCTAGTGTTATCTTATACTTTTATATAAAGCGAAAGAGTTTGTTTTTTTTGTTTGTTTGTTTGAACGCGCTAATCTCCGTAACTACAAGTCTGATTTGAATAATTCTTTTTGTGTTGGATAGCGCATTTATTGAGGATGGCTATAGGCTATATAAAACATCACGCTACGACAAATTGGAGCTGAGCAGAGCGTGTGAAACTGGGCGGAAGTAGCTAGTACAAAATAAAATTAAACCACTTCCCAACTAGTTTTATAAAATAAAACTGGCTCTTATCACTACTTTTTGACAAAAAGTTATTTATAGTACATATATGATAATATAGTTTAATGACTCACCTACGAGATATAGCAAAAAATGCATGCGGTTGTATTTCCGTCACAAAGTCCCCGATGGAGCACAACATGCCTGCTATAGTGACTTTGCGGATCGCTCTTAATTGTTCTGAAGAAAAAAATTTACATATTTATATGAAGACAAAACTGCCTTATTGGCCAAATGATCGCAGTGCGACTATGACTACGTGTAAGGAGTGTGAGGTTCGATTCCCAGGTCGGAAAAAGTATTACTAAGATTTTTTTAATCTCAAATATTAGCACGTAGTCTAGAATTGTGCCCGTTATATGGCAAAAGGTTCACCCGCTATTACATGGCACTCTTAATATAAGTAATGAAAAGTGGGCGTTTAACGGCGGTGGCATTTAACACGTTAACCGCCGCTTAGGTCACAGGTGACCTACGTTAGCGGAGGATTTGCCTTTAACAGTTTTCTGTCGGCAGTCAAAGGCTTGAGTGCCGTAAATGTGCACCATAGCATATTCTTTCGGGAATAAAAGGATTACACTTTTACATATATGTTATGTTATAAGATAAAGCTTTATAACTCCTCGTAGTGACACATACACACAACATACGTAATGATACGTAACGGTTTCGTAAACATAAATATTCATTGAAATAGTACATGAAATGGTTAATTTGTCTTACCTTCAGTAAACGCATGGGGTCTGTTGGGTCTCTCATACCAATGTCTATCAGACTTAATACTTCGTCTATACTGCTCCGTCAACAAGCAGTACAAAGTTTCTGGAATTCTACCACCTTTGACGGGCTTCTCAAGCCACAAAGCAGCCATCAACTCAATATCCTTAGGGTCCTTGTATACCTTCATTAGACGATGAAGACGCTGGAAATGAAGTAGTCATCAATACATAGTATAAAACAAAGTCGCTTTCGCTGTATGTCCGTATGTATGCTTAGATCTTTAAAACTACGCAACGGATTTTGATGCGGTTTTTTTTAATAGATAGAGTGATTCTTAAGGAAGGTTTGTATGTATATACATATTGCACCCGTGCGAAGCCGGGGCGGGTCGCTAGTAAGATAATAAATAATAATGTAGATAGGTAAATATGCAATAAGTAAAAACGTAGATAATAATGAATGTTAGAAACAAATATCAAATAGATTACCTCCTGACTAAAGCTGTCTTTTAAATCGTCAAAGGTATTATATTTTCTGTTGGTGCAAAACTCTTTATAGTTTACATACGGCTGCATACCAAAATACCTTCCCTTCTTTAAATCACTTGTTGTCGCATCCGAGGAAAACAAAATAGCTCCGAGCAATCGATCAGCCATCTGAAATAATTAAACTCCAGAAAGTTTAGAAAGACTGCAGAGACCAGAAAGTTGTCAAATATAAAAAAATAAACTGAAACAAACAATAATACTTACATCATAATCAATGGTCCAATCAATGGAGCCACCTAATTGTCTGAAACTGCCTTGTATAATATGTTGCATATTGTTGTCGACAGCAAAAAATCCTGTTCGAGCAGTAACGTTAACCATAGGATATGTTTTGATATAATACCCATCTTTGTCGTACAATCTGAAAGTAAAACAACAATAATAACCCAAGAGTTAGACAAACCTAAGAGTTGCGTATCTGGATAAGTACAGGACTAATATAATGAAATTACCGAATACCCAGAAGAGTCTGGTTTAACCCCAGTTTATTTTTAAGGTAATAAAGCTATTAATTTGCAACCGTTTGACTATTATTACTGCATTATTTACTGAATGTATGTTGATACTAACTTCATACTTGTCTTCTGTAACATGTGGAACCATCTCATCCCATAAAAATACTCGTCTGACATCCTCGGTTCAATATTTTCATCGTACAAATCCCTAAATCCTCCTCCACGACCGATAAGACCAGTTCTAATCATATTCTTTTTACCTAGAATTTTTAAAATATCACTATGAGTAATGTGATAGTTGATCATAGAAAACAATGTAGGAATAAAAATTTCATCCAACCGAATATAATAGGTAGCAGTTCATAGAAGTATATCTGCACTGATATAGCCATGTTGATGTCTCTCGCGGTGTAAAACAGTCGCTCGTCATCCCAGCACGGGTTGAGTCTGTGCAGCTCACGAGCTATCTGATTGTGATGTCTGTACATCAAGATGATCCATATGTTTGAACCAAGCACGTTGTTCACTTCTGAAAATTCAAGAATGATGTCTTAATTGACTATTGACTGCACGGTTGGTGCGCTGGCTGGGAAACCGGCTGCCGCAAAATATGTAGTGTAGCGGGTGCGTTTCCCGCACGGAACGACTCTTTGTGTGATCCAAAAAATGTTGTTCTGGACACAGGAGAAAATATTAGTGTGGGACAACGTTAAAAGAAACAAAACAACTGCAACGTTCAGAAATAAGAAAAGCGTTAAGACCTCTAGCTAGATTCGTTCGTATTCACTTGGTGTAGTAGACCTCTTCTTCCACCTTCATTTCTTTTTTCTTCACATTACAAACCTTCCAAATGAAGATGAAATACCATTTTTATTGGAGCATATATTTAAAGTGGTAATGAAAATACTAACGGTACATATGACAGCGTGTTTCTTTGGGTGGTTGATTTTGAAAGCAGTAGGTAGAATTCGGGTCACTGGGAGGAAACAATTCTCCATCTTCTTCCTCGATTTTCATCATACCATTCTCAAAAGTTCTAAGTCGATTGATGAATCCTGGTCGGTACTCGTAAATGTGAGATAAATCAAAAACTGGAGTCTGAAAAACAATCTGAAAAAAAAAATGGAAAGTAATGTATCAATGTTTTATTGTAAAGCAAATATGGAACGCAAACAAGAAACAAAGAAAGAAAAATTTATCTGTCAGAATGTAGTTCACAATAGGTATTTTCTGTTTAATCAATGTCTTATACAGTCTACTGAATCGGTGTATAAATATTACTTTTTTTCTTTGCAAGTTTCTTAGTAAACCAGGTTATCGAAATTTTCTCTTTTAACAATGAGATGCACTTAAAATGAGTTGGTAATTAATTAATTTCGTAACATCTTCCTCACATCATTCATCAAGGATATTGAACTTATTATAATATCATATCTCTTCTAAAAACCTACTCTTGCAAAAGTGGTTCCGTTGTCCAAACACTTATATGTCTGAAAGGTTTGCGGTCTGGTGAGGTTCAAGCAATGGACCCCAGAGTATCTATGCACCGGATCGTCAACAGGAACCCTGATTGGGATACAGTTATAGTTATTCTGGCCTTCTGGAGTACAGCAAGTAGTTATATTTTGAAGGTAATTTACTGAAATAAAATTTTAATATTAGCATTAATTATTTAAAACTAGATCACCATTTTACGATAAATGATTTCATTTTACTTTAATAATTCTGTACGTTTATTTAGTTGTTTTTCAAACCTAAGGTTTTTACTTTATATATAAAAATGAAAATAATATCATACTCACTGATGTCATGAGAAGATAGAACATCAGAGATCATGAATAAGACGTAGTAAGAAAACAGCTGCGTTAGCTTCATGTCTGTAGTTGAGCCCATTAACAAGAGGTCCGTCCTCAGCCTCCTTGGTAGAGGCAAAGAAGCTCCACTGACTGCTTTTCTTGGTTCATAATCTGACAAAAAAGAGGACAATATGAAATAGTTTTGAATAGTATAAAATGGTTTAAAGTCGTCTAAGTACTAGTCCACTTATTCCATAATTGCAATCCCCATTTTTACGTGTACGAGAGGCCTTTTCCACTATATTTTCAAGATATCATTCCACCTCTTTGCTATTGGTTCTAGTTATTTAGCGGTTATGCGAATCATGTTATTTTTTTTTTTTTTTTTTTTTGGAAAAGCCCGCCACAACCTCCCAAAACCGCTGCAACTCCTGTAAGCCAGGATCTACAGTAGATACAACCATGAAAACACGAATCATGTTAGTCTACTTAGAGATAATAATTTTATTTGTAACAGTAGATGACAAAAGTCTAAGTAACATTGTACATAGGCTCACTCAAAACTAACCCGAACTGCGTCAGTGGCTTCAATTAGTTTGCGTTGTAAAGATTCACTCAACAATATTGACAATTTTTACTCCGTTAATAAACCATCATTTGCGCAGGCCACACATAGTCTGACCTTTACAAGTATGCCATTATATTTATAAACTTTCAAAGGATAAATAATAAGGATTTGAAGCTAAAGCCCAAGGATAACTTACCATGGCTAAATACTGGCGATAGGACCCTAAATGAAGGAGTGCGCTGAGTTCCTCTACTCGGGTGCTTCAAGTTGTTACACGATCCATCCACACGTCGCCATTCAGTGGGGTCACATGGATCTATCTCCACCGTGCAGTTTCTTCATAACAACAAATTCAGATAATAATAGTGGCGAATTAATATTGTCCTACAAATCTAGTGGATGCAATGCTGACACTAAAATAAATTGAGAAAAGACCAAGAGAAAGAAGAAACCAGTAAATGATAGTGGACTAATGCAACTTTATTTAAACATCGCTGGCAAGGGATAGGTGGTGAGGAAACCTGGACTTAAATGTTCAAAATATAAGTTTGAAATCGCCGTGATCTGCATTGAGCAAACTTGGTGATTAATGTTTATTTCTTTTACGTGCGAGAAGAGGCCTTTGCTCAGGAGTGGGCAGATATAGGCTAATGACAATGCTGTTGTGAAAGGTCGTATAATAGCCAAAACAACTTGTGATAATGCTTAATAAAGTATAGCAAAGCTTCAAAGCAGCAGCAGTCAAGTATCAGTGTAGACCTCTATACGAGTTAAAAAGATGAAGATATTTAAAATACTTACGCAACAACGTTCCTCTGCTCATAGATCCTCAACAAAGTTCTATTTACAGGTTCTCCGGTGAAACAGTCGTAAAGTACCGCATCGGATGTACCAACACACATACACGTGAATAGAAGCAGAATTTTGAACATTTTTTGCTTTTTATTCAATGAAATAGAATTATATTTTCTTCTTTTTTAAATTATATATATTTTGGTTTTTAATTGTAAACTTGTGTAACAGTTATAACGTAAATATAATAAAGAGAAATATTTTTCTATGTTAATTTAGAACTGTCTTCTATACATGTTTGTTAACACACTGAGTGAAAAAAATAAGTAAAACGTATTTAAATAGAAATGTTCAACATTTGAAGTATAATAAAATAATTATCTTTCTATACAAATCATCGTAATTTTCTTTGACGTTAAATATAACTAATAATAAAAACGAAACATTAAACTTGACGTTACATTACGCCGTGGTTCTCCACGGAACGGGGTGGTTTTTAGTCAGTAATAGTCTGACACTCCCTCCCGCCTCACCCAGGCGGGAGCAGTCGATGATTTTCCCCCCTTAAAAAAAATCCCCGAACGGGAAGGCAGAGGCACATTACGGCACTTAATACTACTGTACAATGTAACACCCACTTTTCACTATTTATGTTATGAGTCCCATGTAATAGGGAGTGAGCCTATTGCCATATACCGGGCACAATTCCAGACCCCGCACTACATTTTTTTATACTCAGTAATACTGTGTCCATCCCGGGAATCGAACCCGAGACCCCTTGCCCGGCGGCAGTCGTGCTTGCGACCATTCGGCCAACGAGGCAGTCCAATGAAACATTAAATTTATTTCTTATTTGAACTAGTTCATTAATTCAAGAATTTTAAATTGATGCTTTGACAAGTTTAGTGATAATAGTACAATAGTATATAGGTAATTGAATTATTCATTTTCAAATAAAATAAAAAATAAAACACCTTATGTTATCTGTGTCTGATTAAATTATTAGTAACATTTAAATAGTAATTAGTACTTTAAATTGAAAAGAGAAATTCAGAACTCAGTTTTAATTTAAGTAATTTTATTATAGGTAAATGAAACAAGTGGCAACATAAATTTGGTACAAATTGTATTTATATAAAGTTTAACGCACCTTCATATTATTGTTACAGATAGTATAGGAATAAATAAATGTAAGTAGAAGAATAACAATATAATTATGATAACAAACTTATCATACATTTCGTGAGACGTAGACATACGACTAAATTCATTATTATGTTTATCGGCGTACTGATGTATATTAGACGAGGAACTCGACTAGTTTCAAGCCATACTAGAGGGTCATATCGTATAGTATGTCGCGGAATGCTGCAAATAAATAGTATGAGCCCCTAGGATGGCTTGAAACTAGTCGAGTTTCTCGTCAAACAGTTACGTGAGTAAGCTGTAAAACATAATTATTAATTGACAAAAATATTAATTTAAGTTCGATGTTTACTCGCATGAGTGCTCTTTCCATGGCGTCAGGTCTAACTTCCCTATTTTCGATGAACTGCACTTTGTCAAAGGATTGCTGTAAAATAGAATGAGAATAATTTTTAGTATAATTTATGATCGATATTTTTGGTGACAATTTGATTATATTCAATAGGTTTTAGAGTTTAAAATGGCATGGCAACATAGTCGCCTCGTATTTTTTCTTTAAAGGTACACATGCTCGAAATTAGAATGCTAATAATCGTTCTATTGAACATACTCAAAAATGTTCCAAAATCGAACGCCTGTCAATTCGCAAGTGTGCCTAAAACGAGCATGCTAATTTTGACTAACTTTCCGATACGCATACTACAAAGTGACAAGTGTTCAAGTGAAATAACTGTCGTGTTTGTTGCAACAACTGTCATATATGGTCGTGGTGGCCCGTGGAGGTTAAAGACTTTTCGTGCACGAGGGTGCAGGTTAGAAACTTACCATCGGCAAGTACCAATGTGACTTTTTCCGAGTTATATGTACTTTCTAAGATTATTTAGACACCACTGACCAACGGTGAAGGAAAACATCGTGAGGAAACCTGGGCTTATAATTTCTAATTATAAGTTTGAAATCGCCAACCCGCATTGAGCAAGTGTGGTGATTAATGCTGCATGTGAGAAGAGGCTTTTCTCAGCAGTGGGCATTTATAAGCTGTTGATGATTGTTGCAATTAACCTCTGTAACAATGCCTTTACGGTCATTATTATGCATCAATTTAAAGCCACACGTAGATGACAAAGGGTTTCTAGGACTCCATACTTTTGTCATTAATACTTCCTTTATTAAAGACGGATTCTGGTTAATAACTCCTACAGCAAAAAAACTGCTTAAAATACTATTTTAGAAGCTGAAGTACTTTGATTTACTTACTCTGAAGATATAGAACAAAATGCATGTGGTTGTATTTCTGATACGAGGTCACCAATGGAACACAACACACCCGCTATGGTAACTTTCCGAATCGCTTTTAATTGATCTGTGAAAAAATTTGGTTTATAAATGTGTCTTCTGTTAAAACAAAAGAGCTCTTCTGACTGACAAATAATAAGTTTAGATTCCTATGGCAAAGAACAAGCACGGAACTCCATGGTCATTCTCAGTTACATACTATAAATACAATTATCCTTACTATCCTTACTTCCTTACTATCCTTATCCTTACTAATATTATAAATGGGAAAGTGAGTTTGTTTGTTTGTTCCACTTTCACGCCGTAACTACTAAATCGATTGCTTTGAATTTTTGCAGACGTAAAGTTAGAAGTCCGGATTAAATAATAGGGTATTTTTTATCCCGGAAAAATTTGATATTCCCGAGGGAAAACAAAAGTATCGGTATAGATGGCGCTGTGTGTATTGGTATATGTCACATAGGCTACTTTTCATCCTTTTGTGACGCGAGCGAAGCCGCGGGTAAAAGCTAGTTTTCTATATATCTTACCTTCAGTAAAAGCATGAGGTCGGTTAGGTCTTTCATACCAATGTCTGTCAGATTTAAGAGTCCGCTTCAGTTGTTCCGCGAACAAACAGTACAGGGTTGATGGAATTTTACCACCTTTTATGGGATTCTCGCCCCACAAACCAGCCATCAGATCAATGTCCTTCGGATCCTTATACATTTCCATTAAACGGTCGAGTCTCTGTAAAATAAAAGAACGTTTTTAAAAATAGTGATGATGTAACTGGTAATAGTCTAATAGTGCATGTGAAAGTAAAAGTAAAAAAGATAACCTCAAAACTGAAACTGTCTTTTAAGTCTTCAAAACTCGTATATTTTTTATTGGTACAGAATTCTTTATAGTTCACATACGGCTGCAGTCCAAAGTATCTTCCTTTTTTTAAATCACTTGCTGCTACGTCAGCGGAAAAGAATATTCCCCCGAAAACTCTGTCAGCCATCTGAAAGGAGTAAGATGATTATCACAAAGAATAAGTAAAGCATTAAACAGGTAATGCTGCCTTGTTGGCCGAGTGGGCGCAAGTGCGACTGCTGGTCAAGAGGTCTCGGGTTCGATTCCCGGTTCGGGCAAAGTATTACTGAGTTTTTAAAAATCTCAGTAGTAGCACGGAGTCTGGAAATGTGCCCGGTATATGGCAATAGGCTCACCCCCTATTACATGGGACTTATAACATACATAGTGAAAAGTGAGTGTTACATTGTACACTGGCATTTAGTGCCGCAATGTGTACTTCTGCCTACCCCTTCGGGGATAAAAGGTGTGGTGTTATGTTATGTTATGTAAACAGGTAAGGTTAATAAAATGGAATTAATTAATAGGGTCTACTATGATCTGCGCAAGAATATTGAGTAAATAAAAGAGAAAGAAATAGTATTTCAGGAACGTTTTTTACTCACATCGTAATCAATGGCCTGATCAAACCTTCCACCCAGCTGTCTGAAACTGCCTTGTACAATATGCTGCATGTTGTTGTCAACGGCGAAGAATCCTGTTCGAGTAGTACCGTTGACTAAAGGAAATGATCTAACGTAGTGGCCCTCTTTGTCGTATAATCTGAAAGTTAAAGAGGTGCAGATTGTACTTGCAAATAAAATATCGAAGATGTAAAAGTTAAATTGGGAAGTTATATTTAAAAACTATGCTCTTAAAAATATACAAACTTCAAGTCAGTTTTCTGTATCAAATGGAACCATCTCATCCCATAGATGTATTCGTCTGACATCCTCGGTTCCACACTTTCATCGTACAAGTCCCTGAATCCTCCATGACCGATAATGCCATCTCTGATCATATTCTTTTTTCCTAAAACATTAAAATATCAACTTTAGCTAATAAAAATCTTTAGGAAACTTTGTAGAAATTAAAAAGGCGACCTACCGAATAAAATAGGGAGGAGTTCATAGAAGAATATTTGCACTGATATAGCCATGTTGATGTCTCTCGCGGTGTAAAACAGGCGCTCGTCACCCCACCTCGGGTTAAGTCTATGCAGCTCACGAGCTATCTGATTATGTTGCCTATAGAACAAGATGTTAATAATACTGGAACTCATCACGTTGTTTAATTCTGTAAATGAAAGAAGATCGATTGAATGAGGAGAGGATATAGAAAGAGAGAGACCTGTAATTATTCATGATTCAACGATGACGCAAGTAGCTTCGAATTGACCGATTTAGAAGTCACTGTCCATGTTCAGCAGCGAACGTCTTGTAGCTGATATAATGATGATGAACTACTACTAACGATAAAATACTAACGGTACATGAAACAGCGAGTTTCCCTTGGAGGTTGATTCAATATACACATGTGAGAGTTTGGGTCAGAAGGTGGAAATAGTTGACCATCCTCTTCTTCTTCTATCATTAGTCCATTTTCGTATGTTCTAAGATGATCAATGAACCCTGGCATTATGTTGTATGTGTTTGATAAATCAAATACTGGTGTCTGGAATACTATCTGGAATAAAGAAAGCGGTCACATAAATATTTTTAAAGGTGATCCATGTCACTTAACTTACTGCTTTACTACTTAATATAAATTTAATTACTCTCTCAAAAGTGGTTCCGTTGTCCAGACACCTGTACGTCTGGTAGCTCTGAGGTCTAGTCAGGTTCATGCAATTGACGCCAGAATATCTGTGCACGGGATCATGTACGGGTATCTTGATTGGGGTGCACTCATAGTCTCGTCTGCCTTCTGGAGTGCAGCACGTTGTTATGTTTAGCACATAATTGACTGAAATGGAAGAAGTCTTTAAGAGGACGAATTCAATAAAGATCTCTACTATATTTTAAATAATGTGAAGTAACTAACCAACATCGTGGATGGATACAACATCGGCTATCATAAAAATAATGTAATAAGAAGCTAACTGAGTTATTCTCCGCTCCGAAGCTTTGCCTACTAACAGAAGTTCAGTTCGTAACCTCCTTGGTAATGGCAAAGGACCTCCACTCACTGCTTTTCTGGGTTCATAAGCTGCGAAAGAAAATAAAACAAATTAAAAAAACTGACTTCAATCGGTACCCCTTTTTTGAGTTTGGTAACCTTCTCCTAAGCGCACCAAATACTTTTCTGAAAACCGCATCCAAATCGGTTCAGCCCATCGAGATAATCGCGCACAGACATACATACATACATACATACATACATACAAACATACAGGTCAAACTGAGAACTACCTTCTTTTTTGAAGTCGGTTAAATAATCTGAATATAATGATGTTATGGTTGTTCGTTATCACGTTATCAGACATATGTAATTTCGAATCTTGGAGTCAGGCAACATAAATAATTGATTACTATACTGTTTTTATAAATTATCTACAACAACAACAGAATGGAATTTAAGATTATTGGTGCAAATTTTTTTATTATTTATTTATTTATTTATTACAACACCTTACAATATAACATCTTACAGTTTATTCCAATGCAATTTCATATTTCCTGAGACATTTAAGTCTAACACGTAACTTAATTAATAAAAATTTCACCTTAATTATTAGACTTATAAGAGTTACATACTCTCAGTATGACATACATATTATAACCATATAGACCCAATTACTCAATCGGTGATATTCAATATGCCTTTGCACTGCTTCAATAAACCTTGGTAGGTTGTGGAACAAATCATGCTCCCGTACACTATTTATAATCCGAACAGCACGCGAAATAGGAGCATTTTGTCCTTATTGGCTCTATCTGAACCGGGAAACAAATTTTAGGTTAATTTAAAATTTGAAAATTATAAAGTCACTTACCAACGCTAAACACTGGTGGTAGAACTCTGTAAGAAGGAGTACGATGTGTTCCTCTGGATGGGTGCTTCAGGTTATTACATGAGCCGTCTACACGCTTCCATTCAGTCGCATTACATGGCTTAATCTCTATCGTACAGTTCCTTCAAAATATAAATAATCAACTATGTTAGTAATATTATTAATTATTCTTACGAATAACTATCGGAAATATATGTATGATGGGACGGTGGACATATGTCGGGCATGTCATAGTCCTGGTGAATCTATTAGACATATTATTTCTGGTTGTGGTCGTTTAGGTAACAGTGAATATTTGCATAGTTATAATTAAGTAGCCAAGATGATAATCTGGGCGACTTATCGAGTATGAGGTAGGTACCGTACTACAAATATGTACCCAACCCAGTGCTGGAAAATAACCATATCACATTGTACTGGGACCGGTCTATCATTACTGACAGGACTATTGTAGCCAATAAACCTGACATAGTGGTGATAGACCGACAAGTACGCCGCACGATAATAATCGATGTCACCATTCCCCATGACGAGAACCTCGTGAAAGCTAAAAGAGATAAACAAATAAAATATCTACACTTAGCTCACGAGGCTGTCGAAATGTGGAGTGTGGACTCGGCTATAATTGTGCCGATAGTCGTGTCGGCCAATGGGTTAATCCCTAAAAGCGTCGACTTCCATATCAGAAGGCTGGCGTTAGGTGGATGGATCAATGGCTTGATACAGAAGGCAGTTCTCCTGGAAACGGCACGTATCGTGAGGAGGTTTCTGTCTTTAACTTAACCTAACCACCGGTAGCTTGGACCATGCTTCTACTACTGGTCGTCTCCTATTTTTATATTTACAAATATTATTTTTCTGTTTTTTTAGTAGATTTTATTCATTAATTTATTGCACAATGTACAAACATAGAAGTATCATACTACTTTTTTTAAGTGGGGAAAATCATCGAATGACTGCTCCCGCCTGGGTGAGGCGGGAGGGAGTGTCAGACTCTTACTGACTAAAAACCGCCCCGTTCCTTCTCCTGCACGTCGAGCCGGAGCCCCGGTTACCCGTTAGGTTCTCCGCGACAGGTATCATACTACTAGTACAGTATATCACCCTGTTATCACATTTATATGTACCTTTAGAGAATTTTAAATAAAAAACCCTAAAAATACCTACTTACCCTATTATTTATTACATTTTTGACTTTTTTTTGTTACTCACCCAACATTGTTCCTCTGTTCATAGATTGCTAACAACGTTCTATTGACAGGTACCCCAGTGAAACAGTCGTAAAGTACCGCATTGGATAAACCCACACACATACATGTGAATAGAAGTAGAATTTTTAACATTTTTATCAATTTGTTGTTTAAGAAATATTATAATTAAATGTGATTCTAAAACATAAATTACAATTATGTGAACACAACAAAAAAAAAATAATAATAAAAAAATGTATTACAACTCTAGAAATGTAACGAGAACTGACATTTTTTTGCATTTATTTATATATTGCACATTCGACCACGAAACAAGTCGTTGACTTTTTAATTACCTTCTCATAAAATTAACGTTTAATTATTTATCTCACATTGTGTTAATTATTTCCATTATTCTACTATTATTCAGTATTGTTCCACAAAAGTACAAAACGCTACTTATCATCAGTTATCAGAATAATTAAGCTATCAGACTAGTGTGTGGTCTGTCATTGCAAAATATTCTTAAAATAAAAAAATATAGTCTATATAAGTATTCTACATACGCCTTACAATTAGAATTAAATTTCTGAAATATTTGTCTGAAGAATGGCAGCAACGACTGTCGCAACCGAGGGCTGGGCTCGCTGCCATTGCAGCGGTAAGTCCCCTCTTTGAGGAGTAGTTTGAGAGACGCTACGGCGTCTTCACCTACTGCCTGACGCAGGTCCTCACCTTCGGGAGGTACCTATATCTGATAGGGCGGGAGGAAACGCCCGAGTGTTATCACTGCGAGGTCCGCCCTGAGAACACGGTGGAACACACTGTTGGGGCATGCCCTGCGTGGGCTGAGTACCACTGTACCCTAGTCCGCGTCCGGCCCAAGTCCGGGCCATGATGCGAAGCGAAAAGGGATGCCATCTTCTCCTTTTGCGAAGTAGACATGCTGACTAAGGAGGAGGCGGGGCGCGTGAGGCAGCGCTTCGCTGCCTCCTTTCAACCCAGCCGTCGCGATGGATACTTCAGGCGTCGGGATCGCCGGGCAATCTCCGGCCACCGTGAGCACGGGCCTGCTGATGGCGAGCATGGGTAGCTCGGCTAGAACAGAACCATCAGAACCAGACCCGAGCGTGTGGTACGTCGCGTTCCTCAAAAAGCCATGAGACCACCACGGATGGGGCCCAATAAGGCTGATGTCGATACGGAGCCGCGGAAAACTTCACAGGTTACCGGGGCTCCGGCTCGAAGTGCAGGAGTAGGAACAGGATGGTTTTTAGTCAGTAAGAGTCTGACACTCCCTCCCGCCTCACCTAGGCGGGAGAAGTCATTCGATGATTTTCCCCCCTTAGAAAAAACACGATAACGACTAATTTTAAATTTAAAATCTAAACATTGTTACGTGACTGGTAAGTCAGGGTTTCAATGAAACTACCAATAGGAAGGAGAAAATATAATCCACAATTTTGACATAGGTATTCAGTTTTTTACAAAATAATCGTAACACTAAATTGTGCGTTCGAAGAAAGGTTTTTAGATTAATTCCCTTCTGCCAAATGATGGCTAGAAAGGCTGTTATTCGGTTAGAAGGTTAGGTTAGAAAAAAAAACTCGAGTCGTAAGAGTTTTTTTTTAATTATAAATGTACGGTATATGTCGCGCGGTTGCCCTAGTGAAAGACTATGTCGACCCGGCCTAGTACAGGAATTTGGGCTGAAAACTAACAAGGTGGGCTAGATCTGAGAATCATGATTATAGCAGCCAATGGCAGAAGTCCAATTTAAGAAAAAAAATTTACGTTAAATAATAATGCAATTTTTAATTAACAGTTATAAATTTAAGTGTCATTACATTATTTCTACAAAAATAAACTACCTCACTAACTAATAAGTTAACACTACCGACGTTGTCTACTCGCATGACTTATCCTTCCATGCAGTCAGGTTTAACTATCCTATTTTCGATGAACTGCACTTTGTCAAAGTATTACTGTAAAAGAAATTTCATTATTATAAGAAAGAAGAAAATAAAATACATTTTTATATCTATGTATTATATGTATACTATATGTATATGACTGCACGGTTGGTGCGGTGGTTGGGCAACCGGCTGCCGTGCAACGTGTCGCGGGTTCGATTCCCGCACGGGACAACACTATGTGTGATCCACAAATTGTTGTTCCGGGTCTGGGTGTCATTGTGTATGTGAACTTATGTTTGTAAACGCACCCACGACACAGGAGAAAATCCTAGTGTTTGCCCCACACTAGGATTTTCTCCTGTGTCGTGGGTGCGTTTTTTTTAAAAAAGAAAAAGAAAAAAAAAAAGAATATTATATCTTGAACCTTGATGCTAAGTAACATAACATATTTCTCTTTAAGACAAACCATTATACAAGTCAAGGTACTATAAAGGTACTCGATTATTAATGACTGCACCGGTTAGCGCGGTGGTTGGAAAACTGACTGCCACGCTACGTGTCGCGGGTTCGATTCTATATTCTATCTATTTAATTATTACAATGTTAAAAATATAAATTACATTTAATAATTTTAAAAATCATGTGATAGATTAAATTTTAACGAAATTAAAACAATAATTTATTTAGCATTTGACTGTCTAGCAGCGCGACTTGGTGTGGCATGTCCTGGAATGGTGCTCATGAATATGAGCCTCTAGCATGGCTTGAAACTAGTTGAGTTCCTCGTCAAACAGTTACATTAGTAAGCCGAAAATACAATAATATTAATTAATTTGTTCATGGGTAAACAATTTTAAAAATAAAATTAAACATATATTTGCAACAATTTTATTTATGAAAGCATAAAAAAGTGTATATATGAATAGGCAGAGGATTTCTTAATCTTTTAATGAATAATAAATCAAGCTTTATTATATTTTATAATATTTCGCATTGCATTGCAAGCAATTTAAAAATCAAAAAAGTCAGAATGTTTAAGAAAAATATTCTGTTATGTTATAACAAAGCTAGAATCTTTTATTTTTCATTTCATCTTGTTGAAATGTAAATGTAAAGAGTTACATTCAATCATGTTGCAAATTGTCCTATGATGATGTAGTGCAGGTATCGTCCGCCCAGTAGGAGTAGTCTAAGTTGGGAATTTCATCACAACTGACGATCACGTTACTGTAAAAGAAAGTTAGCAAAATTAGCAAAAATTTGAACGAAACTTATGCTATAACTTTCCATCAAGCCTACAGAAAGAAATATGAATATTATTAATATAACTTTCTCTAAATTTCAAGTTATTTCTGTTCAGAATAATTATTTATCAATAAGAATTAGGTGAAAAAATACATACTCAGTTGTGGGTAACTCGTATGCCCTAGGTTGGATCTCAGTGACACCAGGCCCGATATCACACAGCATACGCGCCAAAGTCACTTTACGGATTTGCGCCAATTGATCTAAACAAAAATAATACAAGGTCATAACATTTTTCGAAAGACTACAAAATGGCCACCAATACCAAAAACACAAGACGATAGTAATAGTGAATTGCATAAAGTGTCTCGATGTTTGGCATTTTGCTGGTCATAAATTCGTTCTGTACAATGTTAATCATTTATTTCTTAATCTAAAGCAGAAGGACACTTAAAAGAAAATTAATATTAAGTGCTCACCAGCAGTGAAAGCATTTGGTCTCGACTCTCTTTCATACCAATGTCTGTCTGACACCATCGACCTCTCCAGTTGTTCTTTCACAAGGCAGTAGAAGGTGGGAGGTACGTGGGAGTTCTCCTTCTTCTTCTCCACCCATATACCGGCCAGCAAATCGATGTCAGTCACGTCTTTGTACAATAGTTGTAACTGTGTTATCCTCTGCAATAAAAAAATGTTAATTTCTTTTATAGCTAGCCAGTACTGGTTTACCAATATCGGTATTTACATGCTCATCTAGAAGAAAACATGCAATATTCATATTGACCTCAGTACTTCTAAAATTATTCTCTTATGACTACTGATTTATTGTAGTGGATCAAGAATAAATACTAATTGTATTTAAATTACTGTTTTCAAATATAAAAATTCACCTCACCTCAACATCAATGATGTCAGTTAAGTCATCGAAGCTGGTGATAGAATCACCGAAGCAGTGGTTCCTGTACTCAGTGTACCCTTTGAAACCAAAGTAACGGTTCTTGGCCAAATCATTAGTCATGATGTCATTAGACCTCTGCAGACGACCGAGACCTCGTTGAACAATCTGAAATTATATTTATAGTAAAACAATTGGATTTTAACTCGCTATTCGAATTAAATATCGGGTCGTAGTTTGAGATGCAGACATTTTAACGTGGTTAACACAAACCATAATTAGTTTGCGTCATAATAATTTAATAGTAACAAATTAGTATCATAGAATGAACAATTTTCATGAGGATTTTTTGGCTATGGAAGAGAATATATGGATGAAATAGTCTTTACATCAGGGTCCGCGACGTAGTCATCAGAATTGGCTGTGGGCTGTCTGAAGAACCCTTGAGTCACGAAGTCCATTGTGTCGTTCACCTTCAGGAAATCAGTGTTCGAGGTTAGGTCCACAATGGGGAAGGTGGATTTGTATGTTCCGTTGGTGTAGTACATTCTGGAAAAAAAATACATAACATAAAGTATGATAAAATATAAATACATCTTTCAATCAGTGTTATTTTTATTTAAAAGTGGTAATTGTCCAACCGGAAAAATCGACTCCTTTCTCGGCTTAGCCTCATTTTAACTAAAGTAATTTACTCACCTCAAGTCACCGTCTTGCAGAGAGTGCATCCATCTCAACACTACTGGGTACTCCAAAGCAATCTGCGGCAGTTTGGTATCGTCATATAGATCCCTAAAGCCTTCATCCTCAGATAAAATACCGTCAGCGATCAAGTTGTCCTTACCTATATAATAAAAAATAGTAAAATATAATTTAAACATAAAGTATATCATCAAAAGAAAAAGAACCAGTATAGAATAAATATTTGAGTTTATCAAAGGTAAAAATAAAAATATTATACTCACCCATCAAA